TACTAATACTATGCAGCGCTACCACTGTTCGGGAAGTTAACTGATAGCACTATGAAACACTACCGTGACGTCACTGTTGGTAGCATTTGACGTCATGACTTTGCGCTACAAATGCTATTACTAAAGAGGTAATGCATTGATAGCGTAGCGTTCATGTGCTCTATAAACAGCGATAGTAATAATACTAAAATGAACATTGTTGACTGATACTTCGAAATTAATGATCGCAATAGTATTCGTTACACTTAGCTTTCAAAATGGATTACGTGGAAATGGAATTGCGTGATAAAGAGTTACAGGAAAGTTATATGTTAAGATTGAGTCCAACGAATGTCATTAAAGCAAACAATGATAAGGTTATGTCCAATATTTTGTAATTATACTGTAATTATATTAGCTCAAAAATCAATAAAATTAGGCTAGTTCAACGCGTTTTTGCGTAAAATGAAAGACTCTAGCAGAATCTAAAGAATCTTGCGCTTGCTCCATTTTGCCGTATGCGGTATAGTTAGGGCAAACATTACACTATTCTTACTGTTCACAGAGCTTGTATTCGCTAGTGCTATCTTGGCTCCGTGAATAGAAATAGTAGTATTAACGTTGGTAGAGAGTGTGGTAGCGAACTTGCCGAACGCACCCTAAGAAACTATTGCACTATTTCAAATTAATCATAGTATTATACTCGTGCAACTCTCGAAATATCGGCTTTAGTTTTTAGTCGTACCAATCGGTCATTATAATATAATATTATATATTATTATACATATATTTGTATGTATCTTTGATAAAAAAAAAATGATATTAGAGAAAAAAGATTGCAACATGAGAAATGATACACTGGAAAGAACATGAAATACCCTCCGGGAAAAAAATGTTTTATATATAATTATATAAAATTATACAATAAAATATAATATAAAATATTAGGTTAAGTAAAAAGTGATCGCGTTTTTTTAAAAGACATCTATCAGTAAAAACCGCAATTACTTTCTTACCAACAATATAAATATATCTTGATAGAGTAAAGTTTCAGCTTTAAAAATCTCTTTTTTAAATTATACGATACGACAATTTTTAATGGAGTTATGAGCAATTAAAGTCAAAATAATTATTTTATTTAATCCGCGATAACTCAGTAATCAAAAGTCGTAGGAATATTAAAAAAAAACGATTTTGTAGGGAAAGTATCAAGCTTTCACGATAGGTAATCGAAAATTTTCTCAAATTCGTTTTGGACACGTTACAAATCCACAAAGTGAGAAGAAAATTTTTCGTCTTTTTCAGCTCGTAGTTTTTGGTATGTAAAAATTATCAAACTCATATAAACTTAAAAAATGTGATAAGCTTTTAAAAGTAGAGATTTCAAGCTTTAAAACCCTTTTTTTAAATTTGAATTTCATTCATTATTGACGAAGATATTGTATATACAACTTTGAGCTAAAAAATACGCGATGACTTTTTACTCAACCTAATATATCTATATATACAGGGTCTGGAAAATCTCCTGCAATACTTTGGGAAATTATTTGAGACCCAAAAAGAACAAAAAAAACTATATAAACATAGATCCGGAAATAAGTCATTTCCGAATTATAACCACTTTTATGTTAAAAAAAATTGTAATTTATTTTTCATAATCACAATATCATAATTTTATTTCACATTAGTATTTTATTATAAATAACTACATTTCGAACTATTTTAGTATTACCACGTGGAGGCATAGTCCGATTCCCTCTAGTAAGGTAAAAAAAGTTTAAAAATAAAAAATAAAAAAAGAGGAATGCCAAGCTGACTGTGCCTCCACGTGGTGCATCCTAGATAACGCCCAAATAGTCTGAAATGTAATTATTTATGTTAAAATACTATAAAATAAGTTATGATTGTAATTATGAAGAATAAATTACCATTTTTTTGTTTAACATAAAAGTAATTATAACTCGGAAACGACTTATTTCCGGATCTATGTTTATATCTTCTTTTCCTTCTTTTTGAATCCCGAATAACTTTTCGAAGTATTATTCTGGGCAATTTTCCGGACACTCTGTATATATAAAACATTTTTTCCCACTTCTTTAATTTGAGCTTTATTTTCTCCTCCCCCACGGTTCATAAAAGAAAACTTTTAAGCAAAATATTAATATTTATAATATGTTAAATTAACACAAAATCTGGTAAATATGCAGTTTAAGTTATACTTTATTGCACTTTAAATAAAATATAGAGTATTCCTTTAAGTTGAAGTAATTATGGAATTATATAGATATTGCAGTATAAATATTGTTTTATATGATCAATTTATCATCATAAATAGTTTTCACTTAAAGATATCTAGAATAATAATTATATATATATATATATATCTAACAGAATTCTTAAAATCACAAAACATTCATTTATTCAATCAAATTAAAGATATTAATAGCAAAATATGAAATATTTTCAAATACCTTTAGTGACACTAACAACACTGCTCGTGTTAGGAAGAAACAAACACATTAAATTCTAAACTAATCATATGATCTTTTGATAAAAAGATAGTATCCGAATAAAATATATTGTGGCACGACCAATGATAGATAATGCACTGGAAAAAAAATGAAATATCCTCCTTCCTCGATTTGAT